TGCTGGAGCAGCACATCTGAGCCACGTCCCGCGAGACCGGTCTGTGCATCCGGCCCCCGGCCCCGGCCCCTCTTCCTCCGGTTCCCTCGCACAGATCTCACCGTGGGCTGGGGGCGGGGTGTCTGAGGTGACATTGGGGTGACGCTGCCGCCCCCTCCCAGAGTCCCTGGAGAAGTGGGAGCGCCTTACGGTGGCCGACGCCCTGGAGCCCGTGCAGTTTGAAGACGGGGAGAAGATCGTGGTGCAGGGGGAGCCCGGTGACGACTTCTTCATCATCACGGAGGTGAGTCCTGCCGAAAGCGGGGTGTGTGTGTGTGTGTGTGTGTGTGTGTGCAGGTCGCGTGGCCATGGGCACGGGGGGGGGGGGGTTGCAGGTTGCGTGGCCGTGGGCGTGGGTGCGTGGCTGTGGGTGCAGCTGGGAGGTGGGGACAGCACCCGTCTGTGCCTCGCACCCTCACCCTCTGCAGCCGGGGCGGCGGCAGCCCCACACCCGCTCCAATGAGTCCCCCTGGGAACCTGAAGTCTGTTCTGCACACGGTGTCCTGTCCCCACGTGTGTGATGACACGCACAGTACACGTGAGGATGGGCTCTGGGCGCAGTCGGCGGCTGCTTCCTCTTCAGAATCTGGGCGCGAGGAGGCACTTGGGTGTTCGTGGTGCGTGGCCAGTGAGGGCCCGTGGGGTCTCCCGTGTTATTCCGTGCAGCAGCGTGTGGTCTGTGACGATCGCGGGGTAGAGGTTTGGTTTTAGAAAATGGCGGCAGGCTTCTCAGCTGCGCACGCGTGACTCACCTTTCCTGTCCGCGAGGCCGGCCGAGCAAGGGACAGAGACAGGTGGCTCTGGGGCCTGAATCCCAGCGGCCACACGGGGCTGTCGCTGATGGCGGCGGGCAGCTGTTGTGGCCGGCGTCCCGCTCCCCTCCCCCCTGGGGCTGCGCCTCGGCCGGGTCCCAGGGAGGAGGCCGCCCGGGCAGGAGCCAGGAGGAGTGAGTGCCTGCTGGGCCGCGCGGCCACCCTCCTGGTCACGCAGCGACGGAGCACAGGGAGGACCCGGCTCATCTCCCCTTCGCATCTCACACGCTCGTTACAGCAGCTCGTCTGTCAGCCGCGTGCTTGGCCGTCGGGGAAATGGAGCCTTTGGCGTGGCCGTCCTCACAGCAGGACGTCCGGCCTGGCTTGGCCGCCGGGTAGGAGAACGCGTGGCTGCGTTCTCTCCGTGAAGTGGGAGCAATGCAGGTGCCACCCGTGTGCTCAGGCCTCCTTTGCGCCGCCCCCGCGGGCTGTGCCAGTGGGCAGGGTGCGGGAGGGCAGCCGTGTCTGGGCGTCTGAGGCCGGGGGAGGGTCTTGGGGCCACCGGGCCTCGGGGCGGCACCTGGCCCCTCCCCCAGCCCCGAGCCTGGGGTGTGACTGACAGGCCCTCTGCAACCTGAAGGCCAGCGAGAGCCTGGGGAGGCCCCAGCTGGTCCCCAAGACCATTCAACCCTCATCTTTCTTGAGAGGAAACGCGGAAGCAAGAATAAACCCACTGGCAGAGCAGTCACGGAAAGGGGGGTGAGGTCCCCGCCCACATGCTCGTCCCCAACTCTCCCCCTCACCCCACCCCCCACCCCCGCCTGGGGCTGCGACTTCAGAGACCTTTTGCCCAAGGCCCCGCCCGCCCGACCTCGGGAGGCCAGCTCTGCTCAGGGCCCCGCCTTCCTGACCGCGACCTGAGGACCAAGGGAGGTCTTGGCTCAGCACAGCGAGGCGTTGGCTGCAGCACCGGACGGGGACCCAAGGCCTGTGCGGTGTTTTCTTTTAATGTTTTTATGGATTTCAGAAAGGAAGGGAGAGGGAGAGAGAGAAACATCAATGATGAGCCCTGGCCAGTTTGGCTCCGTGGACAGAGCATCAGCCTGCAGACCAAAGGGTCCCAGGTTCGAGCCCGGTCAAGGGCACGGACCTGAGTTGCAGGCTCCTCCCGGCTCAGGCCCCGGTCGGGTGCAGGAGGCAACCAGTCAATGTGTTTCTCTCTATCTTTCCCTCCTCTTCCACTCTCTCTCTAAAAAAAAAGAAAGAAAAGAAAAGATCAATGGAAAAATATTCTTGGCTGAGGATTAACAAAAACACAAAAATGATGAGAGAATCATGGACCGGCTGCCTCCTGCACGCCCCACGCTGGGCCCTGACCCAGGCCTGTGCCCTGACCAGGAACCGGACTGTGACCTCCTGGTCCATAGGTTGATGCTCAGCCCCTGAGCCACGCCGGCCGGCACTGGTGTGTGTTGCTGGGTGCCCTGAGGCCTGGAAGGAGGCACCTGTCGGGTTTGGGAAGGCCCTGCAGAGGGCGCTGCTTGTCCCCTCCCAGTGCAGCCCAGGCTGGAGGGGCAGAGGGCCGGGCGGGCACAGGCCCCGCGTTGCCCTGCAGACTGTGGTGTCCACCCTGCAGGGAGGGCGCCCGTCGCCGTCTCTGACCTCCCGCCCCGGCGGCGGCCATGAGAGGGACCTTGGACAGACGCCCCTCCGGTGTCAGCCTGGCATTTCCCATGGAGAGAAGGAGGTTTTCTGGGGTGGGGCTCCTTCAGCCTTTGCTCGTAGATGCCTGCCCACACCGGCGTGGCTGAGGGCGGTGCGGGGCTCGCGGCATTCCCAGGGGGAAAGTGGGAAAGTGGCGCCTAATCCCCTGAATCTGGGCTTGGGTTCTCCCACGGGCGGTGGGACGGGGCAGCGATGGCTGGGAGGTGCAGCTGGGCACCCTCCCAGGCCCTCCCTGTCCGCGGAGCCCACAGGACGAGGCTCATCTCCAGCCGCCGGTCACGCGCCCTCACCGTGGACGTGGACGTCCAGCCAGTGAGTCTCGGGGAGCAGCCCTGTCAGCACCTGTGGCCGCAGAGATCCAGGTGGGACCCGCTGGCCGGCGGGGCCAGCCCAGGACCCCCTCGCCTCCCAGCGTGGTGGCCCCAAAACACTGCAAGGTGGGCAGAGGGCGGCGGCGGCCGAGAGGCGGGCCCTCATGGCCCTGCCCTCGTGTGCCCTGTGCTCACGGCCCGCCTGGCCCAGGGGTGCGCTGTCTTCGCCCGCACATGGGGTTTTTCATCATTTGAGTGAATAAGTTGCCGATATTTAAAAATCAGGATATTTCACATAAAAACCTGCATCTCTGCTCTTGGTGCCTGGCCCCTTGGATGGCCTGGCCACAGCCGGGAGGGAGGCTGAGGGGTGGCGGCCCTGGTGCGGACGCTGCCGTCCCCCAGTCCCCACCCGGCCCGGTGGCCTGGCCGTAGGCTCTACGGCCTCAGAGTCGCTGGTCTGGAAGTGGAGGGACAGCCACTGGCCAGCGCAGACAATTGTCCATTATTCTCGGTGGCCCGGCCTCCTCCCAGCTGGTCCAAGGCCACGGAGGAAGCATCGCAGAGATGCGTGTGAGAGGCGTGGACGGCGAGAGGTCCTCACCGACGCTCAGGGCGAGGAGGGCGTCCCCACCCTAGGAGTGTGGTCGACCGCGATAACGGGGCCTGAGCTCAGATGTGCCAGGCGTTGTCTGGACTCACCCCCGGTCCGGAGATCTGGCTGCGCCGTGAGGGAGGCTGGGCAGGAGGGCTGGTCTTTTGCCCAAGGACACACACGGCCAGCAAGGGCCAGGCCCACGGTCAGCTCATCTCCCTCCCACGTCCCGGAGGCTCTGCTCCTGCACTCTTTGCTGGGCAGTTCCTGTGCGTGTGCGACCGTGTGCACGTGTGACTGCGTGCGTGGCTGTGCATGTGTGCACGTGTGACTGCACATTTGACTGTGCGTGTGTGCATGTGTGGCTGTGCGTGTGTGACCTTGTGCATGTGTGGCTGTGGTGTGTGGCTGTGCGTGTGTGACCTTGTGCATGTGTGGCTGTGGTGTGTGGCTGCGTGTGTGACCGTGTGCTTGTGTGGCTGTGGTGTGTGGCTGTGCGTGTGTGACCGTGTGCACGTGTGACTGCATGTTTGACTGTGCGCGTGTGGCTGTGGTGTGTGGCTGTGCGTGTGTGACCGTGTGCGTGTGTGGCTGTGCGTGTGTGACCGTGTGCGCGTGTGGCTGTGCGTGTGTGACCGTGTGCGCGTGTGTGTGCATCTCGAGCTTCTTGTCCTAGCGCGGGGTCCACACAGCTGCTGCCTCTTGTGCTCCCACATCCCTCCTCACCCCCCTCCTCTGGCTGACGGTGGAGATCTGGCTGCTGCTGGCTCTGGGCCGGGCGTTGCTGCTGCTCGTCCATTAAAGGCCGTCAGAGTCGTTTTCATGCCGACGTTGAGATACTCCTGGTGCCGAGGCCACGTGGTCATGGGCGGCTGATGCTCAGAGACCCACCGGCCCCCGCCACGCGGGGCACTGACCAGCTGCCTCTCCAGCTCCTGTGCTGCCGGCACAGAACCATCGCCAGGAACGGCCCCGAGGGCGACCCCTGAGGGCGACCCAGCGATGGTGACGCCCTGGCCTGGCACAGGCTCGGGCTCTGCAGGCGAGTCCGCCACGGGGGACAGAGTGCCTGTGTGGGGTGCCCATTCCCGTCCACAGTGATCGCACAGGCCTGCGGACAGTCACCCAGCCCTCTGGGAAGGTATCGTGTTCACAGCCTTGTGACGTGTGTTTGAAGTGGTCTCCGTGGCAACTTGGATTTTTTCCCCCTTTTCCTCTGTGATCAACCAAATTTGGTGTCACAGCGGGACCTGGGGCTCTCGGGGATCAGACACTCTCAGACTGAAACGCAGCTCCATAGACTCTGCAGCCTCGGCTGCAGCTTCCCCCGTGGCCACACCGTCCTGTGTCCACCGCCAGACACTGGGGTTGGCCCGGCCGCAGCCCCGTTCTCTGCCGGAGCTTCTGTGGACGGGTTGGCGAGTGGCTCTCGAGGCTGCCCACCCCGTGGGGCTGCTGCCTGTGGTTCGGGAGGCACCTGGCACCTCCGTGTTGCCGGCTGGTGATCCTGCAGGAGGGAGAGCGCCACAGGCCCGGGACGACGTGACGGCGCCTCTATTCTGTCAGCAGACTCTGCAGAGACTAGTTCCTCCTCCGACCGCATCAGCCTTCCGCCTTTCACTGAAGGTTCCGTGGAGAGAAGCCATCGTGAGTTCCTACTCGATTTTTTGAAGCCTCGTTTTTATGAGAAAAGAAAGGCTTTGCAGAAGGTGTTCGGGGGCGGGGCCACTCTGGTGGGAGCTGTTTTCTTTAACAGGCTCACGGCGTCCCAGCCGGTGTGGCTCAGTGGACAGAGCGTCGGCCTGCGGACTGACGGGCCCCGGGTTCGATTCCGGTCAAAGCTTGATCCCCAGCCCTGGTTGGGGCCCGTGTGGGAGGAAACCAATTGATGTGTCTTTCTCACATCGAGGTTTTGCTCTCTCTTTCTCTGCTCTTCCACTCTCTTAAAAAAAATCAATGGGAAAATATCCTCTGGGGAGGACTGACAAGAAGTGAAGATATGCTAACGGTGCGTCTGTACATGTTAACCATCACCCACCCGGCTTCTGCGGCTCATGACTCCAGCCGGCCCACGGTCGCTTTGATGGGTCCACGGGGCCAGCCCGCAGTGCCCAGGTGTCAGGTCACACACCCGCCTGGATGTTCCTGTGAAGCTGTTCTCAGGTGTGATGAACACAGACCTCACTTACTCTGAGCAGAGCTGGTGCCCCTCTGGCATGGGTGGGCCTCGCCCCATCAGTTGACGGGGTTCCTCAACGGCAAAGGACTGAGGCCGGAGGAGGGGGTCCTGCCGGAGGAGTCCCAGCAGCCGTTCCTTGGCATAGAGGTCTCCCTGCACTCACCCCGTCGGTTCTGTTTCTCCGGAGAATCCTGACTCCCACTCCTGCCCCCCGACTCTTCCGGAACAGCCAGGCCGCTGACGGGGGGCAGGGCGGGGGGGGCGCAGGCCTGAGCCTCGGGTTCCCTCTGCCACGTCCTGTGCGTGGCCCGTGTCTGTGCCCACGGGAACCTCCGTGCGGCCTGGGGACAGCCGGACCCCACCAGCCGGTTCCCATAAAATCTGGGAGGGAAATTCCACTGCTCGTGCACCAGCTGCGCCGGAGGCGTCGCCATGGAAACGCTGGGCGGGTTTTGTCTCCTTGGCACACTGTGTCTCGAACATCCACCCCACCGCTGCAGAGCTGCCCATTTCGGAGCCACGGTGGCCCAGGAGCTGCCCCTGGCACAGCTGCAGGGGGCGTGCGCAGACTTCACCGTCATCTCGGGACATGGAGGCTGGAGCCCACCCACCCCACGCATGGGCCCTCTGCCTGCACCTGCTGCGCCCCCACTGTGCGCCAGCCTGAGGCACGGGTGCTGCTGGGCTATGTACCTGCAGAGGAAGGAAACCCTCTGACCCCCTTTCCGGAGATTCGCTGGGCGTCCTGCTGGAGAAGAGGCCAGGCCGAAGCAGGAAGGCCAGGGACTCGGCCCCGGAGGGAGCAGGGACCGTCCCACCCGGTGGGGCTGGTGTGGGGGGGAGGTGGGCTGGGTATTGAAGGGTGAATAGGAGTTTTCCAGATGGAGGAGGAGGGGGCAGGCACACAGGTGTGGGGGGCGGGGGGCGCCGGCGTGGGGGGCGCAGACACAGGCGGGGGAGGCCTGCTGGGCCACCGCCCCCCGTGCCTGGGACACGTGTGGACGTCTGCTCCCTGCGGCCACAGGCCGGTATCTGCACAGGGTCAGGCTGTCTTGGGCTCCGTCCAGTAGTCAGCGTTGCATTTTCGTGGCTGATGCCAGGCCGTCTCCTCCAGGGGAACGTAGAGCAGTGCCCACACTGGCCACGGGTCAGTGCTGAGGGCGCCTGCTCGGTCCAGCCTCTCCGCAGAAAAATAAAAACGTCCCGCCTGGGCTGCGCTGAGAAACGCTTTTGCAGGCAGCCTGGCTGGCGAGGAGCCCGCTGCCGTCCCCGGCTGGTCAGCCCCTGCAGCTCACGGGCTGCGTCCTCCTGTCCATGAGTCTGGCTCCTCCAGGCCTCACACAAGTAGAGTCGGACAGTGTCTGTCCTCCTGCGTCTGCTGACGCCCTGAGCAGGTCTTCGGGGCCCGTCCACCTGGTCAGCGTGTCCCTCCTTTTCAAGGCTGAGTGATGCTCCACGAAGGGAGGGGCCACATTGTGTTTATCCAAACAGCCCCCCGTGTTACGGCTGACAGTGTGGGCGACGACCTCGAGCGCTTTCGGCGCCTTCAGCGTGTCACTCACCCCCGTGTAGCCCATTGACTCGAGGAGCCCCCAAGTGGTGGCCGTTACCCTCCCAGCATCCGAGGAGTCCAGCCCCGAACCCTCACGCCTGACACGCTCACATCTGCCTCTGGAACCTCAGAGCCCAGGCCGCGGGCGACTCCCGGCCGGACACTCACCCGCCTGGTCCCGCCGAGCCCAGAAAAGCCCACCAGGACCGACAGTTTTCTTCTTCTTATTTTTTTAAATATACTTTTATTGATTTCAGAGAGGAAAGCAGAGGGAGAGAGAAACATCAGTGATGAGAGAGAATCATGGATCGCTGCCTCCTGCAGGCCCCGCACTGGGATCGAGCCCACAACCCAGGCCTGTGCCCTGCCCAGGATCGAACCGTGACCTCCTGGTTCCTAGGGCGACATTGAACCTCTCAGCTAGCTGGCGGGGAGTGGCTGACCGTTTTAAACCGCGATTCAGGAATAACAATAATTTGCCACCTGTCGGTGCCTCTCGCCTGTCCCTCAGCTGCTGTGGTGGGGCAGGCAGGGAGCTCTCGAGCGTGGGACTACCCCGATCAGAGATGGGGACACCCCAAAATGCCCAGCAGCTCTGCAGGGGCAGCCTTGTCCCAGCCCCAGGGCGTGGCAGCCGGCGTGACTGCCCCTCCATCACCCCCCCTCCTTTGGGCTGAGGGACTGGTCACTATCCCAGACCACACCCCCACGTCACCCAGAGAGGAGCTGGCTCTCCTCCCAGGGGTCCCTGTCCGGCCCCCGAGGGGCCCTGCCTCCCTCAGAGCACGGGGCACCCCTGAGCGTGCAGCAAGCGCTCGCTAGGCGGCCCTGCAGGCTCTCAGCCCGGGGCCACCTGTTCCTGCCCCGGCCCCGGTGCCACTTGTGCCGTTTCCCACGGAAGCCGCCGGCTTGTGCCTGCGCCAAGGCCCCGACCTCGTGGACGATCCAGTGAAGGCTGGCACAGAGCCGGCCTCGGGCGCGTCGCCAGCCAAGGGTGTTTTTGCAGTTGTTTTGACGACGGTTTGCAGCCCCGAGCGTGTGATGGACGCGCACAGCAGAGGTGGGCGGGGCCTGCAGGGGTCACGTAGCCCGAGAGCCGCAGTGGGCAGCTCCGCGGCCGCTCGGAGCCACGGGAGGCGGGGAGCCCTCAGGGACACGGCTGCCCTGGGACCTGAATGGGCTGGAGGGACGCGACTCCACGGGGAGAAACAGCTTTTGCCTCGATGACGGCTCCTTTCAAAGTGTCTGCACAGGCCCATCTGTTCCAAGGAAACCCAGAGCTGTTCACAGGCACAGGCTGTGTGATCTGTGCGCACACACGCATGTTGCATGTGTGTGCACTGGTGCGCGTGCATGTCTGGGTGCATGTGTCTGTCCAGCACATCAGTTTGTGGGTCTGTACGCGTGTGCATGAGAGTGCACGGTGTGCGTGTGACTGCCTGCCTGCGTGTGTGTGTGTGTGTGTGTACGCGGTACTAGGGGTCTGTAGCTGCTTAAATACAGAAAGATACCAGCAAACGACCCTCCTCGTCCAGCGTCAGGCACAGCGAGTGGCTTTTAGGTCCCGAGGCGCCGCTGTCAGTCGTCACCTGAGATGTTTTCCATCGATCCTTAGGGAGAGGGAGAGAGGGAGACGTCCGTGTGAGAGAATCATCCACGGGCTGCCTCCTGCACGTGCCCCGACCCGGGCCCGGGCTGGGGAGGAGCCTGCAACCAAGATACGTGCCCTTGACTGGAATCGAACCCGGGACCCTTTGGTCTGCAGGCCGAGCTCTATCCACTGGGCCACACTGGCTAGGGCTCAATTTTGTTTTTGATTTTGTCGAAAAACGTTTAAAAATCAAACGTTGAAAGGAAAGTGGTGTGTGCCCTCCGCCCCAGAGCAGGCAGGAGCTGCTCCCTCCCGTCCTCGGGCTCGGCCCCGGGTCTGGGACCTGCTTGCTTTTAGAGCCGGGTTGGAGCCAGCGACTGGAACACGGGGAATATGGTCTGGCGTCTCGGCAAGAATCCCAGTCCCTGAGGCGTCTGTGCTGCTGGACAGCGCCGGGGAGCCGGCCTGGACAGCGCTGTGTCCCGGCCTGCGTGGCTTCATGGGCCCCTGTGGTCACGCGTGTCCCCCGTGTCATGGGAACGCGGCTGTGCTGGTGGGAGCCCCCTCCTGGCACACCCGCTGCTTCTCTCCCTCCTGGCTGTCGGGGGCATCGTCTCGTACGGACGTGCAGGGGCAGAGCGGTCCCAGGAAGGGGACGCCCTGTTGGGGCGTGTCGGTCAGTGTGAAGTGTCCAGTGGGTCCTCGGGGCTCGCTGTGTCCCCCGTGGCCCCTGCACTGGGGGCTCGGCCTCTGACACCCCACAACCTGGTGGTGACGTCTGTCGTCTGGGGCTCTGCGATGCCTTCAGCCCGAGTCTGGCCAAGGAGCCCTGAGCTCCCCTGGTCCTCAGAGGCGAGGGGTCCCCTGTGGGACGGAGCTGCTCTGCGGTGGGCGGGAAGGTATCACGTGTGTCGTGAGTAAGAAGGTGCGGGTTGTGTGGGGCGTCCGGCATCACGCCTGGCGCAGCGGCTCATGTCCTGGGCCCTGTGGCTCCTGACGTGGGGCTCCACGGTGGCTGGACCCCCGCGTGGCTCTGAGCCTGGAGCTGTGCCAGGGCCTGTGCCAACCCAGACCCAGGACGATGGGGGGCCCTGTGGAGGGCCCGGGGCTCCTCTCTGGGCTCCTCGTCTCGGTGTAGCATTCAGCTCAGTCCAGACGGTCATCCATGTGCCCGTCCTGCTCAAGGGCCTGGGGAGCTGTGCCAGGCACGGCGACACCACGGGGTCCCCTGACCTGCTCGCTCCCAGACGGTGGGCGTTACACATTAACCCGGTGCCGCGGAGGAGGCTGGGTCCGGTGAGCAGAGCGGAGCCCACGGGAAGCCAGGTCACGCTCCCCGTGCTGCATGGGTGGCGGGCGTGCCGGACGT